TCCTAGTTCTTCCAGGCTTATTGGTATGCTTTCGTCCATGTAGCTGAAGTGACACTGACTCATGATTTCATCTGACATCTGATTATGAAACGAAAACCACTGATTAATAAACAGAATATAATCAACCTAGTTAAAAATGTATGCGTGTGTAGCGCGGGGTGTCATTGTCAGATAGTAACGTGTCGGTTATAGATAGATCAATTGCGTACCTTAAGTTTATAATTAGAACGACATATTTGTTATTATAGGTTCGGGTTTATCGGTCACCGAACGAAAATGTCAATATAAACAGTGTCCGGGTCAATATAGCAAATTTATAAGCTACGTATAATTATTAATATATGATAGAATAGATTTCGGAGATAAGTACAAAAAACTTATTTTTGTATTAAATATTAATTGTATTTAATATCAAATTTATAAGCTACGTATAATTATTAATATATTATAGAATAGATTTCGGAGATAAGTACAAAAAACTTATCCATATAGACGGAACGAGATTTTGGTCAAATGCGGTTACTATATTATGGTTCGATATTTGAGTTCTTGATCTCTTATGATAAGGCCAAGAGAGAGACCTAGTTTATCATGCGTATTACATACATCCATAGTATTACTGCAATTGCAAAAGCAGGTCCGTGTCTCACCTAGTCACCTGATTCTACTTTGTGATTCTATCCCGTTATCCTGCTTTCTCGGTGACTATCTCATGATTACTTTTTTAGATTCTGAGCGGAGCGATGAATGTATTGGTTTTACAATGATGTGTGTTTTTTTTTTTATATTTTTTTTTTTTTTTTTTTGTGTCTGTCATCACGTTTTGGGACAGTAAAAGTGCTTAGATTTTCTTCAATAGTACCTTTTCTGATAGGAAAGTGAATCTAGTTGGTACTTTGGTGGGTCAAAAGTAAACATTTCCCAGTAGTTTTCACAAGCGCCGAGAAAAACAACATAATAACAAAAGATTGGGTAGTAGTAAAAGTGCTTGGATTTTCTTCATCAGTAGCTTTTCTGATAGGAAAGTGAATCTAGTTGGTACTTTGGGGGGTTAAAAGTAAACATTTCCCAGTAGTTTTCACAAGCGCCGGGAAAAACAACATAAAAATTAAGGAAAAACGGGAATTTGTACGCAAAATTGGTTTTCCAAAAAATCGATTTTAGTTTTTGGTGTAACTCTAAAACAAATGAACGTATATACATGGAATTTTCACTGGTTTTTTATATTTGCATTTTCTATACACGATAACATTTTCAAAATATTTTGATTTATTTTGAACTGTTTAGGGACATTTTCATTTTCCATTTTTTTTTAGTTTTTTTTCTAAAAATATCAATAAAATTGTATTTGTTGGTTGCGAAAGATTGAAAATTTAATAGAAGGCTCCTAGTATATTGTTTCAAAGGCAGATGAAAAATATTAAAAATCCTTAGTCACAATTTTTTTTTATAAGCATTTAAAGTTCAAAAATTGTAAAAATATGGAAAAATCACGAAAATTAGCGAATTATTTTGAGTTAAGAATTCGTAAAAATTTTTCTTTTTAAATCTAAGATTTGAAAATGAAACACAAGATTCCTTATAAGATTATCTACCTTTATCAATAAAAAAATCTCTACCGGACAGTCAAATTAAATTTTTATGAGCGTTTGAAATTCAAATTTTTACAACATTGGATATTCACTCGATTACTCATGTAGCGATTTTTTTATTTTGTTGCAATTCAAAAACGAACAACTGTAGATACATGAAAATTTCACTGAATCTTTATATTAGCATTTCCTATACACCATACAATTTTGAAAATATTTTGACTCTTTTTGAGCTGTTTATGGACATTTACAGCTTTCAATTTTTTTTAGTTTTTTTTTCTATAAATATCAATAAAGTTTTATCTGTTGGGCCAAAAAGTGTAAAAAATTAATACAAGGCTCCTGATATATTGTTACAATATCAGTTGAAAAATATTAAAAATACATAGGCACAGTTTTTTTTTATAAGCATTTAAAGATCAAATTTTGACAAAATTTATCAAAATCTCGAAAATTATCAATCATTGTAATTAATAAATTATAAAATGTTCAGTTTTTATAGCTAAGGATTACAAATTCAACACAAAGGTTCTCATAAATAGTTCATGCTATAACCAAAAAATCTAAAAATTATATGAACACAGTTATTTTTTACAGACATTTTAAATTCAAATTTGGACGAAATTACATATTAAAAAACCTAGAATAACTATTTTAGTTATTTTGTTGTGATTGAATAATATTATTCGTGGATACTTGAAACTTCTAAAGTGTACCTACTATTATATATCTATGATAGTATCACGGTTGTTGTTGATGTATAACGCGTTATAAGTACCTAATGGATATTTTGATATGATTAATTTTGGAATTTATTATAGGTACTTACCTATTATAGGTCAAATTTTGGTTTAGTACCATAGATATGTATAAAGTATATAATATGTCTTATACCTAGACTGACATACTGTCTCCGCTCAGAATCGTTTTTCTTATACAATGATATTATATCGTTGAATTCAAATTTAATATCATCCATTATACAGTGACCCACTTGTAACCTACTGTACAGCACAGCGACACCCACTTGCCCACCTTTTTTTATCTTACTCTTGAGGTAAAATAAATAAATAAAATTACAAAATTGTAGTTTTTAGAAACATAATATTAACTGCCAAATCACATAATAATTCCATGTGACTATTATATACATATAACTAGTCGTAGTCCAATATAATATAAGACTTGAATTTGAGTTCAACATGTAAAAATTGCTTCATTTGTAGCCTTGTAAGAATTACAGGAATGCCACTATTCTTCTTGAAGCTGTCTGCGTAGTATCATTCGTGCGAATTTCAAATTTTCTCTTTATTTATAAGCTGTAACACTTCGGATTGATCGTCGAGACCGTCGTATGACTCCTACGACAGTACTATGAACTTTGTCCATGAAATAGGGATTCGTTAGTTTGAATTATTGAACCATTTATACTTACCTATATTTATTTATTTGATTGATTTCAAATCGTTGACATCGACATTTGTGCATAAATTATACCAATCTATAATCTTCGTTTTACTTATAGCGCAGTTGTTATGGGTAAACGTAAAATCTCTGATGACCGACATTGATTTTATGTGCCAAACCAACAACTCAGAACCACACTAAAGTTCTATTATTTCTGTTAAATATTCCTAATCCGTTGACTTATCCATTTGTCAGATGAAAATAGTTGAACACGATTATCTTTTATTATTGATCGATACATTTGACAACCTTTCTTGTCACATTTTAGAGTTAGGATATTTTTTATACATGTAAAGTCCCAGTGGAATAATGTTTCTAACTTTAAATATGACATCAAATTTTGATATTTTTGTTTCACCGAATAGGCTGATAATTATAAAGATTTTATAAAAATTGTACAACACCAATTATAGTGTTTTTGTATATATATTATATATTATATATTATATATAAACATTATCCAATATGTATGTTATGAAATTTTTTATAGAATAATTCACTTCAAATGTTTTACATTAAAAATAATTAAATTAACATTAATTCTCAATAGTCATGCTAAGATACTCTCTTACAACTACAACATTTC